AATTTTGTTAACATGGTTAGTGTTGTTATTATGACAGTTACCGTATATCGATAATTGTATTATTATGTTTAATATAATTAATTTTAGATTACTAAAACAAAAACAAGAAAATGGCTAAGTTTTGCTGTAGTAGAAAATATTATTAGACTAGTCCTTTTTCTACATTGACCCAACCGGGAATCGGCGTGCAAACTAATAGGCTACAGATGTTTTACATTTAAATAATTACCTTTTGTTTAATTATCATTATCCTTTGTCTGTCTCAGCTTAAAATTATACGACTTTTGCATCTACCAACATTGTTTTCTTCATTTTCTTTTGTTTATTAAAACAAAGTTTTATAGTATTCTAAATTGAGTTGAAACTATTTATTTATAATTGCAAAATGTCAACATTATATATGGAAAAAAAATATAAATCATAAATATAATAGATAATCATATATAATGTAAAGTTGCAGCAACAAATGCAACCATATTATAAAATAAAAATATTATTATAAGGAGGAAAGATTTTATTGTTGTTTGTATGCATTACAAACAAATAGTACTAACAAATAGTACAAATAGCACCTACTTTTTTAGTCCAGTAATATGGTCGGAAATTGCGAAAGTTGTTTAAATGCAGATACAATATAACGTATTTTGACAATGAGGAAGTATTTAAAAAAAATAAAGAAAGTACAAAAATTTATGTCACTAGATGGCAGCACAAATAGTTGGATCTAAACGTCAATTCATGACGTTAAACCAAAGAGAATAGAATTGTCAGTGATGTTATGGATCTGATAACTCGGATTAATATCGAGTTGAAATTAAATTAGTTTGAGTTATGCAAACGCAGATCGATTAATACGAATTAATCTTTGAATTTATTTTTCTTTTTTATTTGTATAGAGGAAAATGAAAACTAATATAATGGAAGTGAGCACAAAGGTTTTTTTTAATTTATGGAAATCAATTGAATGAATGCTGTGATATAATTAAAAGTGGCATTTAGCTATGGTATACAATAATATTATCGCCAAATAATTTTTATAAATAAAATACTTATGCCATAATAGGTCTAGGAATTTTTCATTTTAATATTTAACAAAAGTTCTGAAAACAATAACAACTAGTAAGTTAGTTTTATTGCTATTAGTTATTTGTTGAACTTACAAAAACAAAACTACATCAAATCCCAATAATATTTTTATATTATGTATGGTGAATAAATGAATAGGGTTTATTAATAAGCAACAAAAGTCATAAAAAGGATAATTATAATAAAAAATCCGTTTATTATCTATATACTTACCCGATATGTATCAAAACGTGACTTCTGGCTAAAATGACGTTTATGCAAAGTGGAGCGTGCAAATAACTTGTGTTTTCGAAATTGAGACTTAAAAAAAACTATGATCAGTTATTAAATCTTATATTGATAATTAAATCATCTTAATAAACATTCAGCAATCAACAAGAAACGTCTGTTCTTAACGAATAGCAGGGTTATAACTTTAAATTTCAAAATCACAAAGACACGTACAGTTATTATACTATTGCTACTGATCTTGCATGTCGACAGCGGACGTCGACCCATGTTTTAAGTTCATTCGTACAGCACATACCCAATGTCCTTTTTGGTTCTTACAATAATATTGTTAATAATAATTCGGTTTGTGGATGCATAATGACACACAAATAAATACAAGCTGAATTCTGCGCTCCGATTTTTGTTCTTCATTCCAAACCTGAATTCGGATGCAAGTTACGAGCAACCAATAAGTTGACTCATCACTAATGTTGACGTATCAACCAAACATCGCTCCTTTACACATAACATAATAAACAACTTAAACTTACGATTAAAATTAATTTGAAAGTTAGATATTATAAGAAACACAAAACGATTATTAATATTCGATACTCAATTTACTTTTTTAACGTCAGAACCAAAATTTGAATGAATATCATAAACAAAATCCAAAACTCACGAGTGACATCTAGTATGATTTCAAGAACTAGTTTTTATTTTTTAAATACTTCCTCATTGGAATAGGTGCCGCATACTTGGTACATGAATCTGTTTTAGTATAACCATAGATATATAAATAATGTCTGTGGTGTGGACGATTGAACATCGATTCGACGTACCATATAACGGAGCAAGTAAATAGTGATTTCATCCACGTATTACAAACGATGCTGCGTAAATATATGGCGGCAATAAGGCGACAATCGATAGTGTCGATGATACGTCATGATGACATATTGCGTTCCAATGTTGCCAATTTAGCATTTTTATGGCTAAATTTAGCATGTTTTCTAGTGTTTTGGCATAATTAAATTCAGTTTAGCATATAGCATATTTTTTAGCATTTTACTGAGAGTAAAATATCTAAAGATATTTTTCATTTTTTCTTAAAAAATATGCTATATATGTCTGAACACAACCTAAGAGTGTTCGTAGATTTATAGTCATAGAGTAGTCTTTGGTTAGATAAATCCCGCTTGAATATAATGAGTTTTTGTTGAGGAGAATCGATGAGGTCCCTGATCAGATTTTGCGAAAAATAGGGACTAATGTAATGAGGCTCATGCATCTACGTCATCTGCTCCATACCTACCGGCTACATCAATGGCTCAGGATACCGACGAGGGTCTTCGCAATTTATTTATAAATGCTTCTTTATAAAGATTTTTAATAAATATTCTGTTTCTCTAATAAAAGCATTTTTTAAGTATTTTCGAAAATATTTGGCATATTTTTGGCATTTTTTTAAAGCCTATTTAGCAGAAATTATTTTCTAGAGTTGGCAGCACTGCACCTGTCCGCCATTTCGAACTATCAGGTACGTATTAGTACTGCAAAGAACGCATCTGTCTTAAGATTGGATGATTTGCATCTTTTTGTTTAAAAATATAATAAAATTATATTTGTACCAAGATAAAACAAAATTATATTTTTCATTTTTTATATTAAGAAGTTTCAAAATACACTTACAATTTGCACCACAATAACAACTATTTATATTATTTTCGTAATATCCTATTAGTTTGCTTAATGTAATTCACTCATTTATTATTTAACAAAATCGGCTTGTGCATTCCAAATCTTGATCATGATACCTATATGATTCCAAAAGAAAAGTCAAGTAAAACTAGTAAATAAACAAATATAGCCGCTGGCTGGTCGACAAGTGCGTTTATTTGTTACCGATATCGACACATGACTCGATGTTGCCCAAATCTTTCTGAACAGTCACTCAGTTCTGATTCGTGTCAGTGCGCCACTGATCCACTCAGAGTAGTAGTTACGGTGTCAGTGGTTTGCGTTTATGTTTTTTTTTTTATATATAACTTTAATATAATAACTTAAATGCAGGAACATTGTAAATTCTATAAAGCAAAGCAACGCCTAGATGCAGTGTAGTTGGTTGTGCAGCATCATATTAATGTGATTCGAGCAATGTTACGTTTCATTGGTATGATTAACACTTGCTTGGAAAAACAATATTGACAGTGTTAGTAAATTATTTTTGAAAGGTTGCTTTTATAAGTCGATATATGTCGTACTTTGACATGTTCTATATAAGTTATAATGCACTTTTCGTTTATATTTTCGTAATATTTCAGTTATTAAATAATTTTGTTAACATGGTTAGTGTTGTTATTATGATAGTTACCGTATATCGATAATTGTATTATTATGTTTAATATAATTAATTTTAGATTACTAAAACAAAAACAAGAAAATGGCTAAGTTTTGCTGTAGTAGAAAATATTATTAGACTAGTCCTTTTTCTACATTGACCCAACCGAGAATCGGCGTGCAAACCAATAGGCAACAGATGTTTTACATTTAAATAATTACCTTTTGTTTAATTATCATTATACTTTGTCTGTCTCACAAGCCTAATGCTTGAAACTATGGTTTATAAATTATACGACTTTTGCATTTACCAACATTGTTTTCTTCATTTTCTTTTGTTTATTAAAACAAAGTTTTATAGTATTTTAAGTTGAGTTGAAACTATTTATTTATAATTGCAAAATGTCAACATCATATATGAAAAAAAAATATATAAATCATAAATATAATAGATAATCATATATAATGTAAAGTTGCAGCAACAAATGCAACCATATTATAAAATAAAAATATTATTATAAGGAGGAAAGATTTTATTGTTTGTTTGTATGCATCAAGTAGGCTCCGAAACTATTGGACCGATTTAAAAAAAAAGCACCTACGGTGAAGATACATCATATGTGGTGAATGTAGATTATATTTTATTCGGCTTAACAATTCCCTAGGGACCACGAGGGTGAAGTAGCTGGTGGAGGAAAGCTAGTAATTAATAAATTCTCACCACTTAAGAAAATCATAAACACGATTTGATTAATACGTAAGTTTGAATTTAATAGAAGTGTTACAGGTAGTAATTTAGCCATGTCCTTCACAAAACAAATTATATAACATGAAATAATATAATATGTAGTAGTTTTGTAGCAGTTCAACGTAATGCTTTTATTTTATACAACATCGATACTGATACAAATTAATGTTTTACGCCCTATGAGAGTCCGACATTCCCTTCGCGCTTTTTTCGTACGTAAGGTTTAGATTCCTTTGCTTTGGACAACGAAACTAGCTGGTCTAGATTTGGGGTTAATAGAGTAAAAAAATGGTAGTTTTGAGTAGATAATTACAAATCTTGTATGTATGTATGTACTGTCATTTTATATTTGTTTTTCCTGATGTAGATTGATAACTACAATTTCATAGTAATTTTTTGATATTCATACAATGTAAAGCTATGAAACTTTCATAAATACAATTTTGATTGAATTTATAAATACGTTACCGTTTTTTATAGTTTTCGAGCTTTTTCTTTTCAAAATTATCCCCTTTGCTCTTCCATGCAAATATATCTTTATGTCTATCAAAAAAGTGGTAACGCATTTTTGTAACGACTTTTTTACGTTGTTTCATAAAAAAGAGACTCGAAAATATGCTAAATATATATTTAATCCCAATCAAAGAGTTTAGCAGAATTTTACTGGCAGAAAATGCAATATAAACCTGGTCACACTGATCTTTTCTTTTCGACGATCTTGTCAATTTCAGATTGTCGGGCCAGGTATTTAAATCCTAGGTAATCATTATATTTATAGTGTTATTGTTGATAAAAAAGTATTATTTTGTGAAATTTATTTATTGGTGCACTACACAGTTAATTATTTCAGTCATAAGAAGGAACTTTAGGTGTTAACCTCTTATAGAAGAAATTCAATGTTTTGACGTTTAGCTTTTCAGAATGTTCAGTGTCTGTAAAGTGTAATCAACTTTGTTTTATTTTATTTCAGCCATGGTGCGTATGAACGTATTAAGCGATGCCCTTAAATCCATTCACAATGCTGAGAAGCGCGGGAAACGGCAAGTGCTTATCAGACCTTGCTCTAAAGTAATAGTCAAGTTCCTGACAGTAATGATGAAGCATGGTTATATTGGAGAGTTTGAAATCGTAGATGACCACAGAGCTGGCAAAATTGTCGTTAACCTCACAGGCCGATTAAATAAATGTGGAGTTATCTCGCCTCGATTTGATGTACCAATAAATGATATTGAAAGATGGACTAACCTCCTCCCGTCCCGGCAATTCGGGTAAGATAAAACATTTAATAACGTCTTTTTTTATTAGTCTAACTCGTTTATAAACAAAGGATAAATTGAATCATTTCAATGTAACAGGTTAACTTTAGCAGTATAAAATTTTATTTTTACTGTGTAGACGCACAACTACCGCGGATCGCCAATAGATCTTGTTGGTCGGCATTTGATATGTTGTGCAAAATTAACTGAAATAGTATAAATTGATGTCACTTCATTGGTGAACATTGTGCATGCTGTTTGAAACAATATTTATAATAGCAATGACAGTAACAGTAAATTTTGCAAATATAAGTTCATTTATTCAATTTGCAGAAATAAATATAAAGAGCATGGTATTATTTATCTAATCTGAATTGGATGGAAGTTGTTAAATTTATTGTTAGTTAGTTTAATGTCATCTTGTCTGCATAGTCACAGGTATTTTTTTGCAACTAAAGCTATTAATGAGATAAAAATGTTGATTTAAATAAAATAAATCTTTATATACCTGGATTTATAATCTTGAATCCAGGTATATAAAGATTTATTTTATTTAATGTTGCACCAGTCAAAATTCTGTAAATACCTTTTTAAAGGTCAGTCACTGGTGACTGACATAGCCCCATTGGAGTATTCCAGTGTCAGTCATGGATGACTGACAAGGCGGTCAATGTGTTAACTACAAGGTGCAAAAACCATGACCGTCAGTTTGTTAAACCTATTTAAATGGTGTAATTTTATGTTTTATTCTTCTATTAATATGTAGATAAAATTTAAGCCCTAGCAAACTTTCTCTTAATTGATTACATGATTTTGCAGATTATTTATATATTTGAAGTATGTTTACTTAATTAACATAAATTATGACATAATTTAATTTTATTATGTACTAGTTTTAATTTGCTGTATATGAAGTTGCTTTTGTTTTCACCTCAAATAAAAAGTACAGCTATATCAAAGTTTTCAAATATTGTCATTATTACAGATTTATACAACTATAATGACTTTGTTTCTAGCTTACGAATCCTTTGTGTTCATATTAATATACTTGCTTATCCAATCTAGTTCCGACATTGGCAGAATAGTCAATACCGGCTCTATTTGCCATCAATAAAAAATAGAATGGAAATAGTTGAAAAATTATTAATTACCTTCCAATCTGCATTGGGCCAGCATGGAGGGTCATGGCCCATCCTCCATAACCATCCAAACCACCCATAAGGAAGGCCTGAGCCTCTGCAGCGGGGACGTAAAAGGGCTGATGATGTTGTTGATGAAAATTATTAATTTTAATTTTTTTTTCTAAAAAACTGAATTTCGTTAATTGAAACTACACAATTACATCTTCATTATAGATAATTTTACCAAAAAATATCAACTTTCATATGTTGTACAGAATTGTTGTGATATATTTTTTTACACTATTAATGCAAACAAAAAATTATTTACACTATTAACATTGATTTGATAGCAAACACTACTACAATAAAAGACAACTTTAAAGATATTACTTATGAAAGCTGTATTTAGATAAGTTTACTCCTAAGGAAATTTAAATGTACATATTAGTATTTGTTGATAAACTTCATCCAACAACTGGCCAGTGGTATAAAAAATATCTGATTTCAATTTGATATATTGCAAAAAATATAGAAAAAAGCAATAAAAGGACTATTGTAGGTAACTAAAATGAAGATTATCATTTGTGTATCTTTTTTTCAGATACCTTGTGCTTACCACAAGTGGCGGTATTATGGATCATGAAGAAGCCAGAAGGAAACATCTTGGAGGGAAAATTCTAGGCTTCTTTTTCTAAGTTTACACAATACATATAAAAATGTACTTTTGTGTTTTATTCCATATTATCATCAAAGACATTTGGGCATTATGCAATATATTCAACTCACCAAGGATGTTTGGTTTTAAACAGTAGTGATTTTTGTTATTGAAATAAGCACTAGTAATGATAATATAATTATTATTTGAAGATAAATAATGGAAAATTAAATAATATTGATGTCATTTTATAATTCAGGGTGTCCACTTTCTGGAAAATTAGGAAAAGTCAGGGAAGTATAAGATGGTCAGGGTTAGTCAGTGAGTCAGGGAAAAATTTTAGGTAAACTGTGAGGTCAGAGAAAAAATATAAGATCTTTGTAAAAAATTTATTACAACAATTATTTTAAATTTCATTAATGTTTGTTTGTGTTGGTACTTATTACCGAGAAATTTATTCAATAGTTTGTGCGTGATTCAAACTATGCTTAAGATCTGACTTTTTTAATATGGAGTCTTATATATATGTATAGTACAAAATTGGGACATGGAATACATTATATTACTCTACCAAACCATCAGCCAGTTGCAAAAACACCAATTAAAATACTAATTAGTTTAAAGCGACATTACCCATACAAATTTGACATTAATTAACTTAATGGAATTTTGTGCAACTGGCTGCTTGTCAACTAAACATTTTCAATCGAATGTAAAGGCTTTAAATTTTCTATAGTGTCTACACCAAGGATATACTGGACGTCAGTCTGTGTGAGATTAGAATGGCTCTTAAACAACTAACAAAACAAGCGACGGGTGACGACGGAATTACTGCAGAGTTTCTAATAACGGGCGGTAGGCCAATATTTAAAATTTTCCAGACCTAATTTAACTATATTATCCTCGAGAGCAGAACGCCGACACCATGGAGCGGGAGTGGAGTTGTCCTGTTTTTCAAAAAGGGTAATGTAAGATAATCTTGAATGACTATACGACGATCTCATTCCTGTGTCTATACGTTGTTTTTGAGAGTCATTACGAACTGGTTCGCTCGAACAAGCCGGTTTACGAAAAGGCTATAGTACTGTAGACCATATTCATGCACTGCAGCAAATTGTACAGAAGACCGGGGAGAATAATTTGCCACTCTGTTTAGAATTAGTGAACTACGAGAAAGCCTTTGGTTCAATCAAGACAGACAGTGCTGCAGTCTCCAAATTAAGTGGACTACGGGTATATATCGCCGGGTCAATGATACTTGGTACCCTATGAAAAACACTGAAATAGCCAGGATATTGCCAGGATAACTTAGGCGCCTATTACACTACCCAATCTATCGGGCACGATATATCGGCCGCGATTTAGGGCGGTTGGTGTTGTTGTGATTACACTGCACTAGATCGCCTCCCTGACTCAGTTGGCATGCAAACGTGGCGTTGAAAGGATGGCTCCTTCGCTCTCAAAGTACCAAAAATTGGCATAGCCCATACTTTAACTGCGGGCGTAAATAATAAAACAAAATGTTGGGGGAAAAATATTTGATTCTAAATGACCAACTATGCAGTTTGAACTACTACAGAATGAGTTCTGTACAATTTGATCATATATTAAACTTAGTCATAGCTTATATAGCGCAAAACAGCGGTTAGCTGTGCTGTAACCTTAAAATTTTTAGCAACGGGAAATGCATATCATGACTTAAAGTATAAATAGTCAATAAGTTTATTGTTTCCATAGGTAATTTAAAATAATATTACATAATTAAGTTAGTCTCACTATGGACCCTATCGGGCACAACAATTATATAAAGTTTATTATAGCATTAGTTTTTATTATTATAATTTATATACAATTTATAATTGTACCAGACACATGCAAAGGCTATCTAGAATTGTTTAAAACATTATATCATATTGATATATATATATTAGAAAAAGTAATAATATTAATTTACACTTAATATTATTTCTTTTCCTTTTGAGAAGATATTTTTGTCTGTTCGCAAATTTCGTTGTCGTTCACTGACATCTCACACGCACGCTGCGCAACAACCGACTGAGTGCTCTAACACCCTAACAGCGATCACATTACCCGATAAATCGGCCCTAACTCTCATCGGGCGATCGGGCGCCCACGTTCACCCGATATCGGGACCCTAACTCTCTAACTGCGATTAGACTACCCAATTTACAGTGTACCCGATGGATCGGGCCCGATAGATTGGGTAGTGTAATAGGCGCCTTACGCAGTCGAAACATCGTTCACTATGGGTCTCATAAGAAGGCTTTATACAGCTGTTTTGCGCTATATAAGGTATGACTAAGTTTAATATATGATCAAATTGTGCAGATCTCATTCTGTAGTAGTTCAAACTGCATAGTTGGTCTCTTAGAAGCAAAAATTTTTCACCCAACATTTTGTTTTATTATTTACGTCCGCAGTTAAAGTATGGGCTATGCCAATTTTTTGGTACTTTGTGAGCGAAGGAGCCATCCTTTCAACGCCACGTTTGCATGCCAACTGAGTTAGGGAGGCGATCTAGTGCAGTGTAATAACAACGACACCAACCGCCCTAAATCGCGGCCGATATATCGTGCCCGATAGATTGGGTAGTGTGATAGGCGCCTAAGTCATTAATGCAATATTAATATTTATCTACGTGATCGTACAGGTTTCTAATACGATCACGTAGAAAAATATTAACATTGCATTATTGACTAGGTCGTAAAGAGACCTGTAGGAAAAACAACGTTACTAAGACTTGCAATAAGAATTATTCAGACGAAGTGACAGACGGGACATAGCTAGAAGAGCCCATTGTCGTTGGAGTGGAAAGGTATTGTAATGGCGACCGCGTACCGGACAATCAGTGGGTAGACCCCCGCCAGGTGGACCGACGATCTAATAAAGGTCCTGGGAAGCTGCTGGATGTTGGCAGCTTAGAAGCGATAAGCGTGGAGAACTTTGGTAGATTATTAATTTATTAAGTCCACGAGGAAACAGGGACAAATTGCCGTAATGCATAGTAGTGCTGCCATTTGGTCAGTGGCGCCATAGCTAGAATTGTGTTCATATAGATATACCTATCAAAATGGTGTCCAAGCCATCAATTAGGTAATCATCTGAAATTAACACATCTGTAACATTAATGTTTAAAAAGAACAACAATTACCTACTTAGTTTGTTTAAACATAAAGCATTTTACTTTGTTGTCTGTCAAAGTAATCACCCCTTAATGTACAAAGCGATAAATGTTTTAAAGTTAAAACACTATATCGCTTTTTATATATATTTTTTTATATTCTTAATTTGTGATGATAAATACGAATAAATAATTATTTTGCGATAAATACGAATATTCATCGAATATGAGTATTCATATTTGTTGATTATAGCTAGAACCACAAATTATTAAAAATTACAGTGGCTCGGCCAGATTGACGACACCTCAGCAGCGTCAAATTATTTATTAATTAAAAGCTCAATTGCAGAAACGTCCACTATGGCTTAATGATGACTTTAGGCTATATTATAATGGTACTTACCATAGATTTCTGATATAATGACTATGCTTACCGTCTTATCCCATAAATAATGTTGATTGCCGATAGCTTCGATTTCAAAACTCTACCCATAAATATGTCGATTGGTGACAGCTTCGATTGAACAGGATTATCTTTAATTTAAATTGATGTCATTGGCATGAATTTTTTAAATTTTAACGGATTGACGTTATAAAACTAAACTGAAGTTAAAGATTCGCGACGCCTCATAATAACGTCTTAGCAATAGTACCACCAAAAATTTTGTAGGACAAGAGACACAGGAGTTGTTACGTAGATAATAAATTAAAATGAAATTGATAATCTCCGTAACAAGGTATTCCGTGTTTCATATCTTTATTTTCAAATTATTATTATTTTTAAACAGCAACAATTTAGGGTATGTTCCGATATACACTGCGACCACAGTATGACGTCAATTTAGTATACTGGAAGCCCGTTCCTTTATAGCTAGTTATACTGGTGACTTTTTAAAACGGAACGCAGTCCAGTATACTGTTAATCCTATTTTTGGCGCCATTTTCAAATTTGTTAATGCAATGTGAATATAAATATAAAGATTCCCTCTTTTCAAAAGAAAATTGGAAAATTGTATAAAAAAAATATTTATCAATTAAATCCATCTTATAAATAAACGTAAGTATTTTTTTTTGCTTATTTAGAAACTTATCATTTTCTGATTCTGTTTCGACTGATCACGTGATCAAAAGCACTGCGAGCACCTTACCTCGAAATCTCCAGTGCTCACAGTACAAATATGGCGGCAATTTATGACGTCATAAATTTCCCTAGGGTACTGTATCAGTGTACTGGCAGTTCATAACGGAACGGATTTTTTAGCAGTAATACCACTGCGCAGTGCTCGCAGTGTATATCGGAACATACCCTTAGTCAGGTGAATTGACTTATAGCACAGTAGCAGTAGGCAAAGTTCATTTGACAAAACTTCAAGTACCTATCACGATAATATAAAGACTCTGTCGTCAATACAGTATGAATGGGGATCTTAAAAATGGCTTCAATGGTATATCAGTAATATTTTATAAGTAATTTTGTTCCTGTTGATATTGTGGTGTAAAGGCGTCGTCGCAAGCGAACCGATCAACCGGTCACTATTTTAAAGCAAGAACTAGGTAGTGGCGGGCGACAAGCCATTACCGTTCTAGTTCCCCGCCACAGTTCGAGTGGTTGGTATCGGCAGTCGTTCGCCACACGCATTGTGATACGCTCATCGCCGTTCTCGGACAAAAATGTGTCTCGGATACATTGTGTACTGAAGTTTGTGTCAGTGCTCGTGTTAACTCTCGTCATAATACTGTACATTACTGCTAATTTATCATAAGACTCAGAAATGATGGCACCCGAAACAGTGGTAACCGTGGATCACAACAAACCGAATTCACCACCTCAGCAGCAGCAACAGCAGCAGGGGAATGCGCTCGAATGGATCAAATTCAACGTTGATTACTTCAAAACACCGCCTGGCCTACTCAAAGTTATCGAATTGGTGAGTTTTTTAAATGCAAAGAAATTAAAAAGATCATATTCTTATTTACGAAATAAAATTAAAAGTATATCGTACGTAGGTATGTCAATCATTATTTTTTTCCAATACTAAGACATAGCCAAGTATCTTTTTGAATTAATCACATTAATTTATAATATTATATTAGACACGTCAACCATTCGGTTCTCGTTAAACCAGTTTTGTAGTTTGCGTGACATTCTAGTTGCCGGCATATATTGATATTTTCAAATCTGCAGAGGATCATTTAGCAGCTTCATGTCTATGCTTCGTGTATAATTGCGCAACCTCTTTTGGTACCCGCGGCGGCGATGTTAATTAAGTTAATAATAAGTACTTGTAATAATTACGTTTACTAGGCAGCGCTCGGTAGACACACCTAGTGCAAAGTAAACGGCTATGAACAAATAAATTACACATACAATAAGTCATACATACTAATGAGTATGCATATTTTATGTTTCGGAGGCCATAAGCATCTCGGCTTGACGATGATCGTTGTCGTCAAGATTATTTTTTGGTCTTGCGTTATGGAGGTCAATAGATAGTGGCACAGTTGGAACTCGAGAGTGTAGGACGAAGCACATTAGCAACAGGTTGTCGAAAACAAAAATTGAAAATGTAATAAAGATTCAAGTGTAGGTGGGTCAACTTGATTTCCTTATAGTGATGTAATTGTTTACAAATTTCAAGACTGTATAGCTCGAATGTTACAAGATGTTTTCGTTCTAATACAATTATAATTATATCTATGTCATAAAAATACTAATATCTATTCTTGAAAATTCATTCCATAGGTATCTTATTTGTCATGAATTAATCCTTCGACTTATTTGGTGTCTACGTGGGCTAAGGTGCGCTGATTTCGTCATGTCTATAGTCTGTACAATATATACTATCCATAGATTTATAATGATGCTGTCCTTAATAATTTAAAAAGCTTAATATGTATTTTATTTTGAGAGAAAACTGTTTTTGCACTAAAAATATAAAGTTCTATTATTAAGAGGTATAATTTATATATAATTTAATTTGTTTCAATTTCCCATAGTCATGAGATCATTGAAAAGCCCAACTTAACACTATGATATATAATTTATGAAAAACATAACAGTGACATAGTGACTCACCTTTACGGCGACCATACCTTTTATGTAAAAAGGTTATAACTTTGAGTGCCCGTTATAAAAAAAATGATAAGATATTATCGACCTCATCCAGCTGTAGTTATACGTTAGTAAGTTTCCAAAAGGCATGTTTTTCCGATGTCTTCAAGAATCACTTTCTCCAATCAGAAAACCATAATGAATTATATACCGAAACTTTCCTCGTGTATTATTTCCTTAGTACATTGATTAGAAAAACCGTAAGGCGATCGGTTTGGTAATGTTTGAGATTTTTTAGACCGATGACTGACTTTGTATTAAAAGTAAGGATAAACTTAGCACTAAAATAATAACATAAGTCTTGCAAAGGGTTAATATCTTTCAATATACTTTCAACAAACTTTTAGACGCTTTAATTATAATTAAAGCGTATAAAGTTTTTTGGAAGTAGAATGAAAATCAGCGGTTTCTTCATTACATAAAAACATGTATTCACGATAATGATTTTACCAATCAGGGTCGTCAAACATTTTGTGTAATTAGCAGATAAGAAAGTGGTAGAGATTTTGGAGGTTTTCTTGACGTCCGCGGTAGGTGTTAATGTGTTTATTTAATGTGAAAGCGATACCAGGTAACACTAAAATGTAGAGACGTTAGCTGCATAATGATGAATTTTCTTTTAACAAGAAGTTCCTTGACTTATCGTTTTTGAATTATTTTGTCATACTCCAGGGAAGGTTTGAACGGTGAGAGGGGGCAACAATCACAAATTTAAATCGAATCTGAATGAATAATTACTGTAGTACCTAATCACTTGATTAGAAAATTGTTTTCAGAATGTGTTGTTATTTTCGTACATGATTTATTAGTGCAATCAGGAAAAGTCATGTAGGATAGATACTGCAATCATTTTAGGTTTTCAGTGCAATTAAATATAAACAGACTATCGCAATAAGTAATAAACGTTATGTTAATTTGCGGATGCACACGATTGGTTGTTATAAAAAGTGATACAGTTATTTATAGCCCAATCCGTAGTTCTTTTTTATGACATCGGTCCTGTTTTTGCTAAAACGTTTCCAAACTCGATTTCGATATTCTTGTATTCAGCGTGACATCGCGCAAAAGATTTTAATCCCTCTAATTGGTGCTTCTGTAATATGAGCCATATCCACTTACTTCTTGGTATTCTATTGGTAAAATGGTTTAGTAGTAACTACTTCGTTCATAAGTTTCTTCCAAGTATTTTTCGGGTAGGTAATAAATATAAGAAGTTTCAAAAGTGCAAAAAAGGAAAAAAAATGTCAGTGTTCCTTACGAACGTGTTTTTAACGTCCGTGCACTTATATAAGTTTTCCATTATTTATGTATGTGAAGGAAAAGATTCTTGCGTCCTTCACTTGAAGGTTGAGCTATTGTTCCAATCATTATTACCTATGGTTGTAGTTATATACTTACTTCTATAGATGTCTGTATATTGATTGTTTAACACAACATAATTATGACTAATGCTTAATATTCTTGTTAGCTTAAAGACTAGTGGAATACACACAGCTTGAAATGTTTTGAAACATACATTATTTTATATAGGTAATAAACAATGCCTTTTCCAAAATAAGGAATATTTAAAAAAATGTTGTTCGAGTAATTAACATCAAGGAAATAATATATTACCTAAAATATTGATGTATGGCTTCCGATGAATATTGATTTGTTTGCCGACTTCAATAAAAATAAATATATGTGTTTACTTTGGTGTTTACCTAGTTTGTTTAAACGTCAAACAGTTTTAGTATGATTTACTTTAATTTATCTTTATGAAATACACGTACACGTGAAGTACAAAGTTATAGCGTCCACTTGATGCAATCAATTCTGAGCTCTACTAGTAACGCGTTAAGAGTTAAATCGATTTGTCAATTTGACCATTTTATTATGTATGCTATTGATTTAATATATTAGTAAGTAGCAATAGCAAGGGTAGGCATTTTCAAGAACAGTGCCGAATTAAGCCAGAGCGGGGCCCGTAGCTAATCACCCCACCCACCCCTACGCACCGAAAAGTCATCCTTTGCTTTCCGAATAACACAAAATAACTAATCTGTAACTTGAGTTTTATTTGTGAGTTTATGTTCATACTTATAAATATGACTAGTCAGAAGCGTGACTTATTTTAATTCTTACAATAAACTTGAAAAATTAATTGACTCTGAACCATAGAGAGGCTCTCAAATGCGCAGGGCCCCGCGCACCAATCCATTATAAGCCCCTGTGTTGGTTATTGTTTATTCTACTTACATTTCGTAATCTTGTGATTCGCACAAGATTCTTGTTCTTCTTCCTGTTTCAAGATGTCGCTATCTCTGAGGTCCCTGGTTCGATTTCCGACCCCTGCAGATGGGACATTAATATATGAAAAATGCTTAAAAAATCCACCGACCCCTGGTACCTCTTGATGTGATTCGAACCCACAACCTTTCGGAATGTCTAACATTTGAGCTACCCGAGATTCAACAGAGTTGACGAACTTTTCAAGCATTTGTTATTTTTCGCTACAACTCAGCGTATTTTTATAAATGTACAGGCAACCACCCAAACAGCCGAACGAAATATCTTTACAAATATTTATATAAAAATTAGTTCTATTTTTTTATATTTTATCAAATTTGCTTTCACAATGCAATGATAAATATCTTTAATTACTATTAATGCTATAAAGATTCACTAACGCGAGGATTCTTTAAGTACATATTTATCAGTATAGCATTGTGAATGGGAAATGTATATATAATAAAGTATAGTGGTTCGGTGGAATGTGTTTCACAAAGAGATTTGTTACTCTTAGCTTTTATAGATTCTGCGTCATTGGTAGGTTGATTGTTTGGCGTGTTTATTAGTTAATTGTGACTTGAAGCACATTTCTAAAGTTAGACTAATTGTTGGGTAAAGGTTGCGTGTGACCAAGCTCGTCGATGCGTATTACCTTACACGTGCTAATTGTAGTTATAATACATGTAACTTTGATTCTTTGACCCTACTGAGTCAATGACCAATTGTTTTAAGCGACTCATAATGTGAAAGTAGGATTTTTTCTTTTGTAAAAGTTACATTAGGACTAAATTAATACTTTTAACAACAATTTTCAATTTGATCAATAATGACAGGTATGTACATAAACTTTAGTTTGGAAACACTGTCTTTCATGTGTTATTTTATTATATGTGAAAAAAATAATTAATAGTTTTACGATAAACAGCTTTGTTTAGTCCCTAAAAGCAGTTTGAATTTAGAAATTATTCAACTTTTCATTCACTATGAATGTTATTCGAATTATTGTACAGTTTGATCAAATTATTACAGTGACAGATTCATTTGTCAAGTTGTAAGTCCTGTTAGGACGCGTATAGCTCAATTGCCTAAGCATTTGCCCAAATTACGATAGTAAAAAAATTATAATAATCTTTATTTTTGAAAATATGGTTACAGGGTAGTTTTACAATTTTAGATTAGTGTATTTTATCGACAAGACGATGTGCTAATATTAAACTCAAAATATAACGTATTGTCTAATTTTATATGGAAATAAAAATTGACATAAAAGGAAAGGAACGAATCCCATCACGCGCACCTGACATTGGTGAATTTTTAACTATTTTATTTAAGAAAAATATGAATATAGTTTAGTTAATGCTAAATTTATTAAGTATAATAACTGCGTTTTCATGTTTTATCAACGTCGCATAGTAAGGCAAGAGATTTACAGGACGATTAAAAATTTTGCGTACACAACTTTTATTTGAGAGTGCCAAGTGAAAGTTGGCATCGAAATGAAAGTAGTTCTACTGACATGTGGTTCGTCCGTAAGTGGCCCAACGC